TCTCTTGTCCTTCAAGTAAGTCACAATGCCACATATAAACCAATGGATCTCTCTCTCTCCCTCTCTCTCTGATAAACAAGAGGGGAAAAAAGCTTATTGAATTTTAAAGCCTATAAACTAACAAAAATAGCATGGTCATTCTAGGGAGTGGCATGTGAATGTCTATTTCTTGGTAATTAAGTCAGTCGATGGAAACATTAGCTTTTTTAGCCTATGGATGTCAATATTACTCTGAAACAAACTGGGCACCTATCTCCATAGAGCACTGGGGAGGCCCTTTCCTGCAGCCAGTGAATTGTGCTAGTGGGTAAGAGGCCACACACTGTCCCTGGCCCTGGTCTCAGCAGAAGACCTACCTCTCAGGGAAACTCCAGGTAGTCGATATCTAACTCCTCTTTGCGCAGGAAAGATTACTTTAAAGCAGTACCTCCCAAAGTCTGTTCTGTAGACCAGCAGCAGCGGCAGGATGACCTGGGAACTTATTAGAAGTGCACATCGTGTGCACCCCAGACCTACTGAATAAGAAACTCTAGTGTGGGATCAGCAAGTTGTTTTTAGCAAGCTCTTTATGTCCCTCAGGGCCTATAGTCCTTCAGGAAACATCTGAGGAAGTGCTCCTTGTAACACACTTCTGAGAGGGATTTCATAGGTATACTGGGGACTTCCTGGAAAGATCTTGAGGAACACTGTAGTCTACACCTCCTGCCATAAGACTCATGGTGCATACTAGCATATTAAAGGCTGCATGTAGTCTCGTGGCAAAGAAAGCAAGGTTTTCTAGATGTATCTGAATGCGGAACATCATTTACATTTTTTCTATCTTTTTTAAAAAGCTATTGAACTCGATTTCAGAAGCATTTTCCCCATGCGTTAGCATTTGCTTGCACGGTGTCTCTCTCTCTCTTACGTTAATAGATAAATAGACAGATAGAGATATACAGTCAAGATTATTTCCTAACTTCCATATTTGCCCCAGTCTCAATTCAAATTCCCGATCAAATTGTTCCTTACACTGGGACCAGAGTATAAAATTCAAATTACACCAAATGTCTATTTGGAGCTTACCCCTGGGGTTCGGGGTAGTACTTAAAGGGAGCTTGTAGCCAGGCATGTTGGCTCACACCTGTAATCTCAGGGACTCAGAAGGCTGAGGTGGGAGGATCACTTGAGGCCAGGAGTTCAAGACCGGTTTAGGTAACATAGTGAGACCCTATCTCTAAAAAAAAGTAGTAAAAGAAAGAAAAATTAACCGGCTGTGGTGGCGTGCAGCTGTAGTCCTAGCTACTGGGGAGAGGCTGAGGCAGGAGGATCGCTTGAACCCAGGAGTTTGAAGCTGCAGTGAGCTATAGTCATGCCACTGAACTCTAGCCTAGTGACAGGGTGAAACCCTGTTCTAAAAAAAATTTTTTTAAAAAAGAGAGAGCTTGTTTATGAGTTGAGCAGATGGTCCTAATAGGATCTTCTTTGAAACAGGTTGCAAGTAATTTATGGATAGCCTAGTTGCACAGATATTCAGAAATGGGGGATAAGGAGACTAAATGAATGCTCTGTGAGAAGCAATACTGTAACTGGCTCCAAGATCAAATATGCTTTTTTGAATCCTCTCCCTTAACTAACTACTTGACCTTTGAGTTGTTTCCCAGAAATGGTGGCTCTTCTGTGAGAAAAAGGAGTTGCGATTCTGAAGGCCCCTGGGCAGACTTCCTGATGACTTGCTATCCCCCACAACCTGCGCCCCTTGTTGGTTACACCATGTCCTGCTGCAAAGCACGTGGCCCCTCCTTTAAGGCTTATGATCTCTATTCACTGGGAGACAGATTTGAGGCAACTTCTCTCATTCTCCTCACAAGACATCTTTCACACTAAAAATTCCTTTCTTCCTTGTCAATCCTTGTGGTCTCAATAATTGGATCTTTGTGTGATAAGCAACTGGACCTGGACAAAACCCCCTTGTGGTTTTGATAACATATCCACAAATTAGAGTGCGTTTGCCCAGAGCTAATGTACTAAGCATATGCAATGCCCTCAAATTGAATCGAAGCTAGCAATGGCCTCTCCACCAGCTAGTGAGGGTAAAAAGCTTGAAAAACCCCTCAAAGTTAGCCCAAATGTATTTGAAATGGGAGAAATCGACAAGATCTTATATTGGCGTAACAAATTTTGCCCTTGGAATTATCCTAGGAGAACTTTCGTGTTAAATTAAAATTAGCGTTCTGGATTTCCACATCCTCATGTCAGAATAAAAACACCAAAACATATACAGCAGACCTTGCGGAAAGATAGCAGCCATATCAAGCTACCAACTTAAGCCCAGTCACAAAAAATACCTTAAATTTTAAGGACTCATCACGAAGCTGTGAGATTTACAACATTTCCACTAGGTGGCAGCAGCAGCACCCTTTTAAAAACGTTGAACGTTCCAATAATTTGAGTAAGTCACAGTGCATTGGTCTCTAATGTAGGCATGGGGAACCTGGCCAAATCATTGATTGTTTAACTCCTGATTTTATGTTATTGACTTTCAAACAAGGTTTAACAGCTACAGAATTCAAAAACAGGTTGCTCCTGGTTTCTTCGTTATGTATGTGTCCTCATCACTGATCACAGGGGAAGTCAGGGTGGTGTGTCACGTCAAGCCACCAAGACCTGTACCATGCA